TTCCCCCTCGCACTCTCCTTCTTCCCCCTCGCACTCTCCTTCTTCCCCCCTCGCACTCTCCTTCTTCCCCCCTCGCACTCTCCTTCTTCCCCCTCGCACTCTCCTTCTTCCCCCCTCGCACTCTCCTTCTTCCCCCTCGCACTCTCCTTCTTCCCCCCGCACTCTCCTTCTTCCCCCTCGCACTCTCCTTCTTCCCCCCTCGCACTCTCCTTCTTCCCCCCTCGCACTCTCCTTCTTCCCCCTCGCACTCTCCTTCTTCCCCCCTCGCACTCTCCTTCTTCCCCCCTCGCACTCTCCTTCTTCCCCCCTCGCACTCTCCTTCTTCCCCCCTCGCACTCTCCTTCTTCCCCCTCGCACTCTCCTTCTTCCCCCCTCGCACTCTCCTTCTTCCCCCTCGCACTCTCCTTCTTCCCCCCTCGCACTCTCCTTCTTCCCCCCTCGCACTCTCCTTCTTCCCCCCTCGCACTCTCCTTCTTCCCCCCTCGCACTCTCCTTCTTCCCCCCTCGCACTCTCCTTCTTCCCCCCTCGCACTCTCCTTCTTCCCCCCTCGCACTCTCCTTCTTCCCCCCTCGCACTCTCCTTCTTCCCCCTCGCACTCTCCTTCTTCCCCCTCGCACTCTCCTTCTTCCCCCCTCGCACTCTCCTTCTTCCCCCCTCGCACTCTCCTTCTTCCCCCCTCGCACTCTCCTTCTTCCCCCCTCGCACTCTCCTTCTTCCCCCCTCGCACTCTCCTTCTTCCCCCCTCGCACTCTCCTTCTTCCCCCTCGCACTCTCCTTCTTCCCCCTCGCACTCTCCTTCTTCCCCCCTCGCACTCTCCTTCTTCCCCCCTCGCACTCTCCTTCTTCCCCCCTCGCACTCTCCTTCTTCCCCCTCGCACTCTCCTTCTTCCCCCCTCGCACTCTCCTTCTTCCCCCCTCGCACTCTCCTTCTTCCCCCTCGCACTCTCCTTCTTCCCCCCTCGCACTCTCCTTCTTCCCCCCTCGCACTCTCCTTCTTCCCCCCTCGCACTCTCCTTCTTCCCCCCTCGCACTCTCCTTCTTCCCCCTCGCACTCTCCTTCTTCCCCCTCGCACTCTCCTTCTTCCCCCCTCGCACTCTCCTTCTTCCCCCCTCGCACTCTCCTTCTTCCCCCTCGCACTCTCCTTCTTCCCCCCTCGCACTCTCCTTCTTCCCCCTCGCACTCTCCTTCTTCCCCCCTCGCACTCTCCTTCTTCCCCCTCGCACTCTCCTTCTTCCCCCTCGCACTCTCCTTCTTCCCCCCTCGCACTCTCCTTCTTCCCCCCTCGCACTCTCCTTCTTCCCCCCTCGCACTCTCCTTCTTCCCCCCTCGCACTCTCCTTCTTCCCCCCTCGCACTCTCCTTCTTCCCCCCTCGCACTCTCCTTCTTCCCCCCTCGCACTCTCCTTCTTCCCCCCTCGCACTCTCCTTCTTCCCCCCTCGCACTCTCCTTCTTCCCCCTCGCACTCTCCTTCTTCCCCTCGCACTCTCCTTCTTCCCCCTCGCACTCTCCTTCTTCCCCCCTCGCACTCTCCTTCTTCCCCCCTCGCACTCTCCTTCTTCCCCCCTCGCACTCTCCTTCTTCCCCCTCGCACTCTCCTTCTTCCCCCCGCACTCTCCTTCTTCCCCCCTCGCACTCTCCTTCTTCCCCCCTCGCACTCTCCTTCTTCCCCCCTCGCACTCTCCTTCTTCCCCCTCGCACTCTCCTTCTTCCCCCCTCGCACTCTCCTTCTTCCCCCCTCGCACTCTCCTTCTTCCCCCCTCGCACTCTCCTTCTTCCCCCCTCGCACTCTCCTTCTTCCCCCCTCGCACTCTCCTTCTTCCCCCCTCGCACTCTCCTTCTTCCCCCCTCGCACTCTCCTTCTTCCCCCCTCGCACTCTCCTTCTTCCCCCCTCGCACTCTCCTTCTTCCCCCTCGCACTCTCCTTCTTCCCCCCTCGCACTCTCCTTCTTCCCCCCTCGCACTCTCCTTCTTCCCCCTCGCACTCTCCTTCTTCCCCCCTCGCACTCTCCTTCTTCCCCCCTCGCACTCTCCTTCTTCCCCCCTCGCACTCTCCTTCTTCCCCCTCGCACTCTCCTTCTTCCCCCCTCGCACTCTCCTTCTTCCCCCTCGCACTCTCCTTCTTCCCCCTCGCACTCTCCTTCTTCCCCCTCGCACTCTCCTTCTTCCCCCCTCGCACTCTCCTTCTTCCCCCTCGCACTCTCCTTCTTCCCCCTCGCACTCTCCTTCTTCCCCCTCGCACTCTCCTTCTTCCCCCCTCGCACTCTCCTTCTTCCCCCTCGCACTCTCCTTCTTCCCCCCTCGCACTCTCCTTCTTCCCCCCTCGCACTCTCCTTCTTCCCCCTCGCACTCTCCTTCTTCCCCCCTCGCACTCTCCTTCTTCCCCCCTCGCACTCTCCTTCTTCCCCCTCGCACTCTCCTTCTTCCCCCCACTCTCCTTCTTCCCCCTCGCACTCTCCTTCTTCCCCCCTCGCACTCTCCTTCTTCCCCCCTCGCACTCTCCTTCTTCCCCCTCGCACTCTCCTTCTTCCCCCCTCGCACTCTCCTTCTTCCCCCTCGCACTCTCCTTCTTCCCCCCTCGCACTCTCCTTCTTCCCCCTCGCACTCTCCTTCTTCCCCCCTCGCACTCTCCTTCTTCCCCCCTCGCACTCTCCTTCTTCCCCCTCGCACTCTCCTTCTTCCCCCCTCGCACTCTCCTTCTTCCCCCCTCGCACTCTCCTTCTTTCCCCCCCTCGCACTCTCCTCTTCTCGCTCTCCTTCTTCCCCCTCGCACTCTCCTTCTTCCCCCCTCGCACTCTCCTTCTCCCTCTCCTTCTTCCCCCCTCGCACTCTCCTTCTTCCCCCCTCGCACTCTCCTTCTTCCCCCCTCGCACTCTCCTTCTTCCCCCCTCGCACTCTCCCTTCCTTCTCCCCCCTCGCACTCTCCTTCTTCCCCCTCGCACTCTCCTTCTTCCCCCCTCTCCTCTTCCCCCCTCGCACTCTCCTTCTTCCCCCCTCGCACTCTCCTTCTTCCCCCCTCGCACTCTCCTTCTTCCCCCTCGCACTCTCCTTCTTCCCCCCCTCGCACTCTCCTTCTTCCCCCTCGCACTCTCCTTCTTCCCCCCTCGCACTCTCCTTCTTCCCCCCTCGCACTCTCCTTCTTCCCCCCTCGCACTCTCCTTCTTCCCCCCTCGCACTCTCCTTCTTCCCCCCTCGCACTCCCTTCTTCCCCCTCGCCTCTCCTTCCCCCCCGCACTCTCCTTCTTCCCCCTCGCACTCTCCTTCTTCCCCCCTCGCACTCTCCTTCTTCCCCCCTCGCACTCTCCTTCTTCCCCCTCGCACTCTCCTTCTTCCCCTCGCCTCCCTTCGCACTCTCCTTCTTCCCCCCCGCCTCTCCCCCCCCTCGCACTCTCCTTCTTCCCCCCTCGCACTCTCCTTCTTCCCCCCTCGCACTCTCCTTCTTCCCCCCGCACTTCTTCTTCCCCTCGCACTCTCCTTCTTCCCCCTCGCACTCTCCTTCTTCCCCCCTCGCACTCTCCTTCTTCCCCCCTCGCACTCTCCTTCTTCCCCCCTCCCCCCCCCTCGCACTCTCCTTCTTCCCCCCCCTCGCACTCTCCTCTTCCCCCCCCCGCCTCTCCTTCTTCCCCCTCGCACTCTCTCCCTCCCTCTCCTTCTTCCCCCCCCTCGCACTCTCCTTTCTTCCCCCCTCGCACTCTCCTTCTTCCCCCCTCGCACTCTCCTTCTTCCCCCCCCCCTTCGCACTCTCCTTCTTCCCCCCTCGCACTCTCCTTCTTCCCCCCTCGCACTCTCCTCTTCCCCCCTCGCACTCTCCTTCTTCCCCCCTCGCACTCTCCTTCTTCCCCCTCGCACTCTCCTTCTTCCCCCTCGCACTCTCCTTCTTCCCCCCTCGCACTCTCCTTCTTCCCCCCTCGCACTCTCCTTCTTCCCCCTCGCACTCTCCTTTCTTCCCCCCCTCGCACTCTCCTTCTTCCCCCTCGCACTCTCCTTCTTCCCCCTCGCACTCTCCTTCTTCCCCCCTCGCACTCTCCTTCTTCCCCCCTCGCACTCTCCTTCTTCCCCCCTCGCACTCTCCTTCTTCCCCCCTCGCACTCTCCTTCTTCCCCCTCGCACTCTCCTTCTTCCCCCCCCTCGCACTCTCCTTCTTCCCCCCTCGCACTCTCCCTTCTTCCCCCCCTCGCACTCTCCTTCTTCCCCCCTCGCACTCTCCTTCTTCCCCCTCGCACTCTCCTTCTTCCCCCCTCGCACTCTCCTTCTTCCCCCCCTCGCACTCTCCTTCTTCCCCCTCCTCTCCTCCCCCCTCGCACTCTCCTTCTTCCCCCTCGCCTCTCCTTCTTCCCCCCTCGCACTCTCCTTCTTCCCCCCTCGCACTCTCCTTCTTCCCCCCTCGCACTCTCCTTCTTCCCCCCTCGCACTCTCCTTCTTCCCCCTCGCACTCTCCTTCTTCCCCCCTCGCACTCTCCTTCTTCCCCCCTCGCACTCTCCTTCTTCCCCCCTCGCACTCTCCTTCTTCCCCCTCGCACTCTCCTTCTCCCCCCTCGCACTCTCCTTCTTCCCCCCTCGCACTCTCCTTCTTCCCCCCTCGCACTCTCCTTCTTCCCCCCTCGCACTCTCCTTCTTCCCCCCTCGCACTCTCCTTCTTCCCCCCTCGCACTCTCCTTCTTCCCCCCCTCGCACTCTCCTTCTTCCCCCTCGCACTCTCCTTCTTCCCCCCTCGCACTCTCCTTCTTCCCCCCTCGCACTCCTCCTTCTCCCCCCTCGCACTCTCCTTCTTCCCCCCTCGCACTCTCCTTCTTCCCCCCTCGCACTCTCCTTCTTCCCCCCCTCGCACTTCCTCCCCCTCGCACCTCCTTCTTCCCCCCCTCGCACTCTCCTTCTTCCCCCCTCGCACTCTCCTTCTTCCCCCCTCGCACTCTCCTTCTTCCCCCCTCGCACTCTCCTTTCTTCCCCCTCGCACTCCTCCCTTCTTCCCCCTCGCACTCTCCTTCTTCCCCCGATCGCCAGGGTCCTCCACTGAGATGGCGTCCAGGATTGACGACCTTACCCGCTCCCAGCAGACGTTAGAGCAAGAAAAGCAGGGCTGGGCGGCAGACGGAGAGAAATGGGCGGTAGAGAAGAGCAGCTGGGAAGAGGAAAGGGCGAATTGGGCGGCAGAGAAGCAGAGCTGGGCGGCGGAGCGGGAGATGTGGGCAGCAGTGAAGGCGGCGAGGGAGAGAGAGAATGGTGAATCGGATGAGGGCAGGAGAGAGTTGGAGCAGCGTCTGGGGGCTCTGAGCGCTCAGCTGGCTGCAGCTGAAGCAGCGAAAGCGGAGGCAGAAGCGGCTAAAGCAGCAGCGGAAGCGGCGAGAGCGGAGGCCGAAGTGGCAAAAGCAGCAGCTGAAGCGGCCAGGGCAGAGGCAGAAGCGGCCAGAGCGGAGGCGGAGAAAACGCTGGAGGGGAAGAAGGGCGAGTCGGACCAGGCCACGAGGTGAGGCGCTCATGACAGGGGGAGAAACCACGGCCAGCTGGTTGCTGTGCGTGCTGTGCGTGCTGTGCTTCCGGTTGTCGCACAACCTTTCCATGCACCCCCCGCCCCTCCCTCCTTTTCCTTCCTTTTCCTTGCACGCTTCTGCCCCGGCCTTGTGCCACGCCCCCGTTCCTCTGGGCCCCCTTCTGCCTTCTCCCACTGCCCCCTTCCCCCTTTGCCACCAGAGTTTCGGCCACGGCAGCAGTGCGCCTGGCAGAGCTGCAGCAGAGCCTGACCCACTTGTGCACTTTTGAGTCGACTCAAGAGCTGCAGCAGAGTCTGACCCACTTGTGCGCCAACCCTGTGCCACGTGATGCCGTTCACACCCGCTACTCACTCCCCTCCTTCTTTCTTCCCGTTCCCCCCCGTTCCCCCCGTTCCCCCCTTGCCACCAGAGTGGCGGCCAAGGCAGCAGCGTGCCTGGCGGAGCTGCAGAAGAGCCTCACCCAGGCGCAGGTAGATCTGGCGCAGGCGCACTCCACGCTGCAGGAGAAGGAGGAGCAGGTGCAGGCGAGGGAGGGGGAGGTGAGGGAGGTGAGGCAGGAGCTGGAGGCAGTGAGGAGAGGCTGGAGGCACTCGAGGTGGAGTTGGAGGCAGCGACCCAGCAGCTTAAGAAGGCAGCAGAGGAGCAGCAGCTGCGGAGCGAGCTGGAAGCTTCTGCAAGTGCGGCTGCTGCATCGGCTGCATTGGCTGCATCGGCTGCGTCTGATGCGTCTGGGGTTGAGGCGGGGGAGGGTGTGGGGAGCAGGGTGGACCAGCTGGAGGCGAGAGTGGAGGCTCTTCTGGGGGAGGTGGCATCTGCAGAGCGGGCTAAGGCGGAGGTGGAGGGCAAGCTGGCGAGTGCCGGAAGGGAAAATGCCAGGCTGGAAGAGTGAGTGTGCCGCCATGTGTGGTGGGTATGGGTGCCTGGCTGGCTGGCTGTGAGTGTGTGGGTGTTGAGGGGTCAGGGAGCGGGGGCGTGGTGGCAGATTTATGCTTTCCCCTGCCGTTCATCCCAGAACGGGCCACCATTCTCCCCCGCTCCTCGTTTCATGATTCCTCATATGGCCAACCAACCCCCCCTTTTCCCCTGCTTTCCCTCCCCCACCCCCCAGCCTGGCATCGACCCAGGAGGCGGAAGCCAAGACCATGTTCCTCAAATGCACCCAGCTTAAGGCAGATTACACCTCCCTTGGTAGCGACCTGGCAGCCTTTCCAACCCCTACCAACCCCCCCTTTTCCCCCTTCCCCGCCCTCCCCACTCGCATCAGCCTGGCATCCACCAAGGAGGCTGAAGCCAAGTCCATGTTCCTCCAGCTCTCCCAGCTCAAGGCAGATAACGCCTCCCTCAGTAGCGACCTGGCAGGCGCTACAGACAAGGTGCATGAGCTAGTGGCCAAGAATCGCCGCATGGACAAGGACGTGGTAACCGCTGCGGCTGAGGCGGCGTTACGCGAGCAGGAGCAGGGGGGAGGCGGGGCTGGGGGAGGGTGGAGCTCGCTGGCCCTGGTGACAGTGGGTGTGGGCGCGGCTGTGGGGGGGGTTGCGGTGATGAAATTCATGGGGCCACGGGCTTGAGAGGAGAAGGGTGATCGAGGGAGGAAGAGTTGACTCTTGAGTCGGCTCAAGAGGACTTGGGGGGGGGGGAGCTCCCTGTCTCCGGTGACGGTGGGTGTGGGGTGGGGGTAGCTGTGGGGGGGGTTGCTGTGATGAGACTCATGGGGCCGTGGGCTTGAGAGGAGAAGGGTGTTGAGAGTGGAAAAGATGACTCTCGAGTCAACTCTAAAGATCTGGGGGAGGGTGGAGCTCCCTGGCTCTGCTGACGGTGGGAATGGGCGCAGCTCTGGGGGGGTTGCTGTGATGAGACTCATGCGGCCATGGGCTTGAGAGGAGGAAAGTAAACTCTGGGCACGTGATGATGGGCTGATTGACTCGCTGATTATCATGAACCAGTTATGATATTTGTATACCTTTGGTAACTATTGTGGTGATGCCTTGCACAGCTGTCCCTGTTGAGCTGCTCTAACAACCCTTGTTTGATGTGATTTTTTAATATCTGCTTTATTCAAACATAAAGCAACTGTACCAAGCTAGCAAGATTGCCTAACACCACCTAAAAGCACTCTATAACACTGTACACTTGTCCACCATATGCTCGCCTAAACCTGTATGAGCACACACTTTGTAACGGTCCAGTAGTTCTCAGCCACGGGGCGGTAACCCTTTTGGCAGGCGCAGCGGTATCCGAGAGGGGAGAGGAAGTTGGGCTCACAGGTGCTGCTGGAAGGACACTTGGGGTTGGCAGGACAGGGCTTGCGCACTAACACCTTGGTCACTGGGGTGGCAAGGGCAGAGGTGGCAAGGGCAGGGGGTGGCAAGGGAGAAGGATGTGAGAAGGATGTCAGAAGCAGAAGGGCTTGATCACTGGTGCGTGATGTGATGGGCAGGGCACAGTCACACTGTAACACAATCAAACTGTTACAGTCACACTTTCCTGCTTATCGTCAGCCCTTCCTTCCCCTCCACCATGGACGTCAACCCCTTTCACCCTCTAACTCACCTTAACACAGTACCTATTGTCAGCGGTGGCAGCAGCCCCCTTCTGGCGCTTGAAAGCAGCATACACCGCGGCACTGTCGTCCTTGTATGCCCTTCAATCCTTTGACATGCCCCCTATCACCCCTTCTTATCGCACCTTTAAGGTAGTACTGATCGTCAGCGGTGGCAGCAGCGCCCCACATTCCCATCGCACCTTTAACACATTTTTTATCATCAGCAGTGACAGCAGCGCCCTGCTGGCACTTGCAGGCAGCATGCGCCACGGCACTGTCGTTCTTCCGCAGGCTCACACCTCAGCCATTGGCACATCCCCACTCTCACCCTCTCCTCATCACGTGTCTACATCTCACCTTTAACGCAGTACTGGTTGTCGGCAGTGACAGCAGCGCCCTTCTGGCACTTGCAGGCAGCGTACGCCACGGCACTGTCGTTCTTCCGCAGGCTCGCCGGCACACACGCGCCGCGCCGCCCGCACGTCCCCAGCCGGCTCGCCGCCCGGCAGAAGGTCCAGCACATGTCGGCGCTGCGCTGCGGCGGGCGCTTTCCACACGCCTTCTTGTCCCACCTGCAGTCGTGGGTTGGCAGCAATGCAGTGGGCGGCAGGAGGGACGGGGTACTTTAGGAACGATTTCCCTAGCAAAGGCTTTAGGAGAGATCTCTCTTGCAATGACTTTAAGAGAGATCCCTCTTGCAAGGAGAGATCACTCTTGCAAAGACTTTAGGAGAGATCTCTCTTGAAGAGACTTTAGGAGAGTTCCCTCTCGCAAAGTCTTTAGGAGAGATCTCTCTTGCAAAGACTTTAAGAGAGATCCCTCTTGCAAAGACTTTAGGAGAGATCTCCCTTGCAAAGCCTTTAGGAGAGATCTCTCTCAAAGAGACCTTATGAGAGATCCCCACAGACAACAGGTGTAGGGTTGAGCTACCACTGGCAAAGCACATCTGCCTCAAACTTAATGCACGCGCACCATTGCAGCTTCTGAGTCGACTCTAGCCTTTTGCACGCACCTCTTGAGCCGCAGGCAGTTGTTATCGACGTCGGACTCAGACTGGCAGATGGCGGACCCGTTCTTGGCCTTGTACGAGATCTCCCCCACGAAGAAGTTGGACGCCAGGCTGTGGTACGGCAGAGCCAGGTAGCGCGGGGGGATGGTGCCGCTCAGATAGTTGGACCGCACGTTGCTGTGAAGTGGGGGCGAGGGAAGGGGAAAGAGGGGAGATATTAGAGGCGAGGGATTGCAAGGAGGGCCGTGGTACGGCAGAGCCAGGTAGCGTGGGGGATGGTGCCGCTGAGGTAGTTGGACCGCACGTTGCTTGGGCGGGGGGAGAAGGAGAGTGGGGGGGGAAGACGGGTTTACAGGAGGCATGGTTAACAGGGGGAGATGCACAACGCTCCAGACTGTGGCACGGCAGAGCCAAGTAGCGCGGCGGGATGGTGCCGCGCTCAGATATTTGGACCACAAGTTGCTGAGGGTGGTGGTGGGAGGGAGGTATGGGGGGCATGGTGAACGGGGAAAGCGGCACAGCACGGGGGCAGGGTGGCACGGCAGCAGCAGGTAGCGGCATGGTTGGGTGCTGCTCTGGCTGGAAAACTAGGAGTGAACACGTGTACTGGAATGTATGGATGACCACAGATGGGTGAGGAGCTTGAGGGGGAAAGGAAGTACTCTGGAGGCACGGTCAACGGGGCCAAGGTGGCATAGCAACAGCAGGTGGCGCCATGGTTGGAGCTAGACATTGGGTGCTGCCCAGTCTGGTAAATTAGAACTGAACACGTGTACTAAAACGTATGGATGCTCACACGTCGGTGAGGAGCTTGAGGCGATCGATGCTGGGAAGAGTCCCAGACAGGTAGTTGCTCTCAAAGTTGCTGAGGCAGGCAGAAGAACAGGCATGGTGAAAACACAGATGCTGAAAACACAGATGCTGAAAACACACAAGACACCTGTCAGACCGCCCCATGCAAGTATAAATCCAGGCAGAGGAAAGAGACTTTTTTCGGTGCATGGCGACTGGCACAAATGATGAATTGTACGGACTGACTGCTGCTGTGGACAAAGGGAGGATTTTCAAAAAGGGAATTGATTTTTGAGGCGCCTCAAAAATAGACTTCCCTTTTTGAAAATCCTCAAATCCTCAAATCCTCAGACTCAGATGCTCTGGATGCTACTGGGGCGAAAAGGAGAAACAACGTGCTCACAGTGGTGCTCTCATTTCCACAAAAGTTTTTCATTTCTCAAATGTGTGTCCCCCCCCCCTGCCTGTCTCACGTGTTCCCTGCCTCACATGCTCTTGCCGGCTCACATGCTCTGCAGGTTGGCCAGGAGAGTTCCCCCTGCCTGTCTCCCGCGTCCCCCCTGCCTGTCTCACGCGTTCTTGCCGGCTCACATGCTCTGAAGGTTGGCCAGGAGGGTCAGCTGCTTCGGAATGCTCCCACTCAGCTTGTTGTAGTTCAGCGAACTGCCATGACGTGGCCATGGGATAGTGACGTGGCATTGGGGAGATTTTTCGTGGAAAGAGACAGACAAGACCAGTCAGCTGCTCCGGAATGCTCCCATAGGGGGGGAGTGCATAGGGGGGGATGGATAGGGGGGGATGCATAGGTTGGGGATGCATAGGAGGGGACGCATAGGGGGGGGATGTTTAGGGGGGGGATGCCTAGGGGGGGATGCCTAGGGGGGGATGCATAGGGGGAGATGCATGCGGGGGGGGATGCATAGGGGGGGATGCATAGGGGGGGATGCATAGGGGGGGATGCATAGGGGGGGATGCATAGGGGGGGATGCATAGGGGGGGATGCATAGGGGGGGATGCATAGGGGGGGATGCATAGGGGGGGATGCATAGGGGGGGATGCATAGGGGGGGAAGCATGGGATGCATGGCTGAGGGCAACCCTACACGGGTGACTGAGAAGGGCCGAGGAGGAGCAAACAGAAAGCGGCGGGGGTGGATGGGAGAGAGGGAAGGGGGGTGGGAGAGAGTGGGGGGGGGCAAGCTTACAGGTAGGTTAGTTTGGAGAGCAAGGCGAGGGCGGATGGGATGGACCCTGAGAGCGAGTTGTAGCGCAGGCCACTGCAGGGAAGGGACGGAGGGGAGATGGGAGTGGGGGGGCACGGAGCGATGATAGGCTAGGCTTGAATGTCCCATATTCGTGATATTGACTTGCATTGACCATGCTGACTCACACTGACTGCGTTGACTGCGTTGTCTCACACTGACTGCGTTGACTGCGTTGACTGACTCACAGGAACTGCAGGTTCTTCAGCTGCCCGAGCTCCTTCGGAATGTTGCCCGAAAACATGTTGTTGCTCAGTCGACTGCAGGAAGAGAGGGAGCCGAGGAGGGGAGAAGGAAGGTTGGTTTGGGAAATAGGGAGGCTGGGAAGTTTGGGCGGCTGAAGATAATGCAATAATAACAATGACATGGATAATGAACCCATGGCAATGCCAAGGCTGACGTAGCACAAGGAAAGTACTGTGGAGAAGAGACACGGAGCTCCATGGGCCTTACAGGTAGGAAAGGGAGATGAAGCTTCCGATGTATGCAGGGATGCTGCCCCCAAAGGCGTTGTCGTTCATGTACCTGCGGCCATGGGGGTAGGGGGTTGGGAACTCGGAATCATTTACTGCGCCATTTCAAAACCATATATACTTTTTTTCATGCGCAAGGGAAGCATTGGTTGGACTGTTTCAGTCACTCACACAGCCACAATCATACACCCACACTCACACCCAGTCACACCCACTCACTCACACCCAGTCACACTCACTCACTCACTCGCACCCAGTCACACTCACTCTCTCACACCCAGTCACTCACTCACTCACACTCACACAGTCCCACTCACAGGTCCCGCAGGTTGGTGAGTGCAGAGAAGGAGGGTGGCAGTTTGCCGCCCAGAGCATCGCCACCGTGAGACAGCACCCTGCAGTGATTGGTCGGCATGGGGAAGGGACAAGGGGAGAAGAGAGAGGGGGGAGGGATATGCAGAGTGATAATCACTTCGAACAAATATTTTATTTGAGTCAGCAACCTACAACTGGCTCACATCGGTTGACTCACCGTTGACTTGAGCTGACTCACAGTTGACTTGCGTTAACTCACAGCTTCTTTAGGTTCTTGAGGTTGCCAAAGCGGGGCGGAAGAGAACCGCTGAAGTCATTGAACCCAAGGTCCCTGTAACGAGGATAGGGAGGCAGTTGAGGGTTTGGTAGATATCACGGGCTTACGGCAGTCGTTGAATCCTAAACCGAGTTTTTTTTTTTTTTTTTCTTTTTTTTTGGGGGGGCTTCAAGGAGAATCCTAAACCGAAATGACAGAAGAAGCACGGTGTTTTTGAGAATTCTCAAAAACACCCTGCAGAATCAAGGAGAGCGAGCGGTTAAGGAACGTGCCTATGCGGTAATGTGCCTCAAGTTTTGGTTGGTTGGAGAGGTAGTTGCCAGAGGGAGCAGAAGAGCTTACAGGTGGGTGAGGGCAGTTAGGCCAGTGACGAACTGAGGCACGGGAGTGGAGAGATAGTTCTGATTCAGGTTCCTGCCACGCACACGCATAGAGAGGTGGGGCGTTGGGGATCAGGTGGGGCGTTGGGGATCAGGTGGGGCGTTGGGGATCAGGTGGGGCATCAGGTGGTGTATATCCTGGGTTACCCTGGGTTATCCTGGGTCTGCTTGGACCAGTCGAGGAACCATCGCTCATGGGCTTGTCAGCAGGTAAGCGAGTTGGCATGAGCAATACAGAAAGACGCAGACAGACAAGACTCCCGGAGGCATGAATGCTTATAACGCGGACAAGCCCACGAGCGCCTCACAGGTGTTTGAGGAGGCCCAGGTTGCCCAGCGAGTCCGGCGCTTTCTCAATGTCCAGCGCTTGCAGGTTGCTGCGGGGGAAAGGGGGAAGACGGGGGGAAGACGGGGGGAAGAGGAGGGGAAGACGGGGGAAGACGAGGGGAAGACGGGGGAAGACGGGGGAAGACGGGGGGAAGACGGGGGAAGACGGGGGGAAGACGGGGGGAAGACGGGGGGAAGACGGGGGGAAGACGGGGGGAAGACGGGGGGAAGACGGGGGGAAGACGGGGGAAGACGGGGGAAGACGGGGGAAGACGGGGGGAAGACGGGGGGAAGACGGGGGGAAGACGGGGGGAAGACGGGGGGAAGACGGGGGAAGACGGGGGGAAGACGGGGGAAGACGGGGGGAAGACGGGGGGAAGACGGGGGGAAGACGGGGGGAAGACGGGGGGAAGAGGACATGAAAAATGAAGGATTAGAAGGGAGGGGTGGGGAGGGGGGAGGGGGGAGGAAGGGGGGGGAAGAAGGGGGGGGCGTACATTGGCGTCAAGTCCTTCAAAGGAGACGAACGAGTAGGGTGCAGGGAAGCGTACAGGTAGACGAGGTTGGTGAGGGGGGTGAGGGGAGAGGGTGGGAGAGGAGGTTTTGTAGACCGTTTTAAGGGGGAAGAATAGAGCACGGTGAGGGAAGCGTACAGGTAGACGAGCTTGGTGAGGGGGGCGAGGGGAGTCACGTCCTTGATGGGGTTGCTGCTCATGTCGCTGCCGGGGGGACCGGGATGTGGGGGATGGGGATGAGCGGCATGGAGCATGAAGTCCTTCGGTACAATTGCATCTCAGATAAACGAGCATTGACCTGCGTTGAACCACGGCAATGCGAGCGTTGACTTTCGTTGACTCACAGCAGGGCGAGGGCGGTGAGGGCGCTGATTCCCTTGATCGTGCCGTTGATGTTGGTGTTGCTCACGTTGCTGCGCACACAACCGCACACAACCACGCACCACACACACACACACACGAACAGACGGGTCCCTCTGTAGGGTCACTTGCAACCAGCGCACATACTCCACATTGCAGTCCAACAAACTCTCAGGCTGTACTGTAACGCCCAGCCACGTCAACGTACAGCTGAACGTCAAATGCCCATACCCATATAAGCACGACGTACAGTCCCACGATGATGCCCGGGTCGTTGCATATGACCCCGGGGGGCATATGACCCCGGGAGGCGTATGACCCCGGGAGGCGTATGACCCCGGGAGGCATATGATCCCGGGAGGCATATGACCCCGGGAGGCATATGACCCCGGGAGGCATATGATCCCGGGAGGCATATGACCCCGGGAGGCGTATGACCCCGGGAGGCGTATGACCCCGGGAGCCGTATGACCCCGGGAGGCGTATGACCCCGGGAGGCGTATGACCCCGGGATTCGCCATTGAGTCCACTCGATACCACCCACCCTGCTATATAGTCTGCCTCGTTAAAAGACAAGACGTACAGTCCGACGATGATGCCCTTATCGTTGCAGATGATCCCCGGATACGCCATGCATCGCTTTGGCGCCTCCTTCGATGACCACGCGCGCGAGTAATTGAACCCGCGCCACTCCTTCGATAGCGCGCGCAGCACCGTCACTGCGCGGGCGAAAGTACGCACGGACAATGTGTGGCACTGTGATTAAGTGTCTCTACAAGGACTGCCGGCCCCAGTGTCGACATAAAAACCACGCGCGCGAGTAGTTGAACCCGCGCCACTTCTAGGATAGCGCGCGCAGCACGCTCACTGCGCGGACGAAAGCACGCAAGGGCGATGTGTGGGAAGCTCATATGAAGTATGCTGCCCGCCCCTGCGTCGACACAAGAACAACGCGCGCGAGTAGTAGAACCCACGCCACTCCTTGGCTAACGCGCGGAGCACGCTCACAGCACGGCGCACGCACGGACCGACGGTTAATATGACAATGCCGTAAGGTACGGATGATCTCTGCCGCTGCCTAGGGTGCGTGTGTACGTTGCGAGGAGTCGATGATGGTGTCGCGGTTGATACCGGCTCGGACCGACGGAGACAGCAGCAGCACCGCCGCGAACGACGCGAGCAGAAGCGCGAGCGCATGTGAGAAGCTATCTCGGACAGGTGCCATGGCGAAAAGAAGCTGAACGAACGAGGCTGTAGCAGCGGGAGTTTAGTAAAGCGACCAACAGTGCTCTTAGCGGGCGAATCTGTTAGCGGAGATGTTCTTGACGCGGGAGAGCTTTTAGCTAGGATTTCGAGACGTGCGGGCTATAGCGTCTGAACTGGTAGAGAGATTGTAATTTAGAACGGCGGATCAGTGACGGGTGACTATCAGAGGCGTGGATCCGCGGGGAGGTGACTAGATCACGAGCTCGTTGCGGAGGCCATCGATGATTGTGTCGGACCTGTAACGAGAGGAGCGTATTTATCCGTTCGTCCTACAGCTGATTTATAAATCCTATGCTTGCCCGGCGGTCAAAGATGAGCGAAGGTTTAGCCTAATCATAGGAGGCTCAGGATGCAGGAACTAGAGCCACGATGACGAAGCTACGCGCTACCACAGCCGAGCGTTGCTGGCTGGTAGGTAGCCTAACCTGGCTGGGGCGGCTTGTGCGTCGCCGACGGCGGACATTGCGGCGAGCGAGAAACGCGCAGGGCTGGAGCTTGTTTCGCAAGCGGGGGGGTCTATAGCTTTTGTTGATTTTAGCAACGCACACGAAGCTACGGCGACTGCGATTGAGAGAGCACAGAATTCGAGCTGATCACCTTCCTCCTCCCAGCACAGCACAGCACAGCACACCACTCGACTCGAGAGGTGAAGGTTGTTTCAGTGATGGCAAGAAAGCATCACCTTCCTCCCAGCACAACAAATGCCTGCTGCTGCTGCTGCTGTGCTGGTGTTGCTTCTGCTGCTGCTGCTAGTGCATAGCTGTGCTGGGCCGCGAAATCAGTCAATTCTCAACGTTTTTCCGCCGCCGAGTCGCGAGTCGCCATTCGAAATCGAATGTGAGAGCGGTGAACGAACCGCGTCGGGTTTGCCGCCAAGTGTGCTCTCCTGCGTGCCTGGTCATCGTGGGCCAGCAGGGCAAGGAAGGGCATTGGCTTTCGCATTCGCATAGGCCCGTAGGGGGAAATTCCACAATGGCGGATGCGTTTGAAAGTCACTCCTTTACACGGTTTGCAAAGTATAACAACGCCCACCATGCTAACTAATAACCAGATGATTCTTATCCTACTCAAGCCCAACCTACCACAGCATTCTCGTCGAAATCCTTATCTACATGAATCAAATCTGGCCTTTTTATGCCACTATCCTTGGTCCGGATGGAACCTAAATGTTGAAACAACGAAGGCACGTGCACGTATCCCTTGATGCCCGTTTCCACCAGGTACTTATTCACAAGGAGATCCATGTTTGTCTCCATAAAGTGCTCCTCCATATACTGCAGCATCCCCTCCAGTGTAGTCACATTGAACAGGAGCGCCTGTGCACAGCATGGAATGGGTACTCATCCCCATGCCCGTATCGCCAGTTGTACGACTGCGGGTTGTACAGTGACAGCACTCCCCAGCTCTTGTGCACCAAATCCTCCTTTATAAACTTCTCCATGCCAACATCGTACAGCTTCGCAGGCAGTGTATCATCCTGCAGCAGCAGCACGTACTTGGGTCGCGTGGCCAGGCATTGTCTCGCCACATACACAAAATCCATCACCAGTTTCGTGCGCCATTTCCACGAGTCCCACCCATCCTTCCCCACCATCCATCCTCCGCCCCACCGCGCCTCAGCTCCCCCTCCTCCTGCCCTATGAACCGGCACACATCCTCTTGTGCGCTCAACACATCTACCTTCATCGACAGCCCCTCTGCCACCCGCTCAATCTCTTGCGTATAACCAACAATCATGTCGTTGGCCCGTTTCGTCTCGTCAACGACGAAGTCCGCCTCCAAGTCTTCCACAGTCTTCGCTGCCCTGACCCGCCTGAGTCGGCCCATACGCCGCTGTCGGTTGGTCGCTACAGCCGCCGGAACCGGCTTTTTGCACCCTGCACTGTAAACCACTGCGCGCATCTCCCCCAGGCCGCTCCGCTCCCCCCGCTCAGCTTCCCCCCATGGGCGGAACTCCCCCGAGAGTGGCGCTCGTCCAGCATTTTCAGCAGCGCCACGGGGAAGTGCCAGGGAGGGAGCTCGTGGTGGGGGAAGGCGCGCGGGGAGGAGGGGATGGCGACGCAGATGCCCACATTGCTCCACGGGTTCTGGCCAAACGCGGAGCCATCACTTTTCGATCCATCCGCATGCAATGCGGCAGCTGCTCTTTCCGCTGCCAGCGGCAAGGATCCTCTGCTCGCCTCTGCACTGCTCGTGGCTGTTCTCGGCTGGAACCACGACCCCATGGAGGATAGCTTCTCCTTGAAGGCATCAACGGGGCGGGAGATTAATCCCTTCAAGGGAGATTTCAGGAGGTTACCCACGCGGGGAGTGAAGAAGTCCGCGCCGACGTGTCTCCGCAGATGCGAGGACGGCAGATCCATTGAACTCTCCGGAACTTTCTCCGCGTACCACGGCCGGCGACGACTAAATGGAACTTTAAGAGGCTCAAAACGCGCTGGAAAAACGAACGACCGTGACGGGCGGGAGAGATCTAACGACCCCGACGGCAGGGACTGCAGGGGCCAGGCTCCGAGGTGGGTGAGCCAGAGGGCGGGGAGCATGAGGAGGAAGACGGTGAGGGAGAGCATCAGCAGGAACGCCACCACGACGCGCCGCCAATGCACCTTGCAGCACGGCGAGTGCGACGCCTGCCGCCTGCATGGCGGCGGCGGCGCCGCTCCCGCCGCAGCTCCTGCCGCGTGCAGAAGCCCGGCCCTTCCGCGCCGTCCGCGGCGGTCGAGCGACGCGGAGGGTGATGCGCCGCCGCCGCCGCCGTCGCGGCGTGATGCGGCTTGGCGCGCGGCTGCGGGTGGAGGGGAGCGTGGGCGTCAACACGACAGCGACATCGGGCGAGCGAGCGGCGGTGGCGCCGTCGGCGGGAGTTCGACCCCCCCCGGGGGTCCTGGAGGAGCGATGGAAAGCGAATAACGCGCTAGAAGAGGGCTCAGGGAGGGGTATGGCAAGTGGCTTGGTTCCTCGGCGCGACGCGATGGGCTTTTTCCCCGCGATCATGGCTGTCGCGCTCTCGGTCGTGCTCTTGGTGGTGCTCTCGGTGGTGCCTAGGAGGGTCTGACGAGGGGGAGAATCTGCCATCGCAGGGAGGGATACTAAAGGATCGTGAGCTCCGCGCACGCAGGGTCAGCGTGGAACTTATGCTTATCGACAGTTCCTGGTGGTAAAACCGAAGGCTTTTCATGTCTGTGTGAATGAGGAGGGTACCTGAGGGCATGCTGATGGGGAGACAGGGATTGTCTCCGCGGTAGGGAGAAATAATCAGAACGGCGGTTCTGGCAGTGAAATCGCATCATCAGGGGTGGCGCGGCAGGGAGGTGGGGGGAATCCTAGGAACGAAAATGGAGCTGTGAAACTATGCGCCTCTGGCCTGAGCTGGTGTGAGCTAAAGGGCGATGGCGATGGGGTGGTGGGGGAATGAGGAATGCGACAGTTGGGGCGCATTGGTCCCCTTGAACCTAGCGGCGGGGATTCTGCCTGTGGAGTCCGCGGGAAGGTGGTTCTTTGTTCGCTTATTTTCAGGCTGTGGGTTTCTCGGCCGTCTGACGAACCTTAACGACTGTCGCTTATGGCCTGGTCAACCTCTTCTCTCCCCAACGAAGTAGTTTCCAGTGTGGGAATTTTTCGCCAGGAGCGGCATGCCTTTCACAGGCGAAGATATCGAGTAACATTCTTTCTTAGCTACAGCGTCGAGGGCGACGTGCACCACATGATGGCGTCCCCACCTCACCCCACCACCAGGGCTCTGGCTAAAAGGGCAATCGCCCTTAATGTCGAGAAAATGAAGAGTTGTTCCCAACATGATTCCGTTTGTCTGCACGGTAATGTTTTCTCGTTTCCGTCTTCTTGGCGGATTACTTTTCGTGTGGTTCCTTGAGTTGATGGGTTACTTTTCTTTGATTACGTACGAGGTGCACTTGTAGTAGATCTGTTTCTAGTGGTGTATCACCCCTTCCTAGCCTGCCTTACAGTTTCCCCAACTTCCTCCGCTAAGCAAAGAGAGGGGTTAGTTAGCGGGAAGTTTTTGTTTCTTCCAGACCACTCGAGACATAGTATGTGCGAGAAAGAGAGCCTGGGGGTTCTAGGGCTTTTCCTTAGCCGTGGTGAAGGACATTGTCTTCGACGAATCCGTATGCTAACGGGTAAATTTTCGGCGATTCCGTCCGCTAACGGGTAATTTCGGGGCCGATTCCGTGACCTAACGGAATACCCTAGGCTTAGCGAGAGCCCTGCCCACCACCCCCAAACATCGTCGTCACATCACATCACATGGACAAGGGGGTTGAACGTGAGATTTGTCGCATCCTAACCCCCAAAATTGCAGTGCAGACCATGTGCGCTTGACGAATCCACCTAGATGTCGCCAGCTTTCGTTCTAAGCCATCGCCCTAAAGAGAAAGCCTGATGGCGAGGTGCTTGACGGAGGGAAAGGAATTTGACGGGAACCACAAGCTGGCTAAACGACAGTGCGACAAGAGGCGGGGAAGACGATAAGAGCTGCAATTGGGGGACCATTGGCCATCTGACCGTTGCCAGCTAGCCCACTGAGCCGAGGCAGCGCTGCTCCTGACGGACTACACAAGCCAACGTGGCAGCCATCGGTTCGGGATGGCTGGTTGGTTCGGGATTTACTGTGTTTGGTTTTCGGGATACGACTTGAGAAAGAAAGAGAGTAACACCATTAGCGAAGCTGACTACAACAGGGCATCCTCAAGCAAAGAGGCCAGCGTAATGTCGTTTCAGCAAGGTCACGTCACGTTGCAAGGGATTTCCATTCCTTACTGCATCGTACGCTAGCCCGTACACCCTAACTCCTCGACAAGTCACGTTCAGCCTCATTTGTCGGCCCAAACCCTTCTCAAGTCGTGTCCGACACTGTCGCACATTGCCGAACCTACCCACGTTCCGAGGTTATCGCCCTAGTACGCCAACCCTTGTATAACCTCGTGCTTTCATTGCAATAGCGACCTTGTATTCTCCCGTTATTATTCATTGACATCTTCTAAACCATAACACCTTGTATCAGAGCCCGACTTTTTCTCGGAACCTTCCGTTCTCTCAGACTACTTAGTTAAGGGTGGTTAGACGTGATTAGCACGGCTGCACAGCAGTTGCCTTGGGTCGTAAAATTTTTACGCCAGCAACTACAGCGTGTGCGCTAGCTTCTGCCCCGTCTTGACCGCCATGGCCCCGGTAGATTCGACAGAGAGAAACAGTCCACCTCGACTGCTGCAAACCCTGCCCGGGAAACTGTGGATCTGCAAGCATTAATGGAGCAGTTGAATAATTTGACAAGCGTCGTCAACAACCTCCGCGACGAGAACCAACGACTTCGCTAGGCGCAGGAAAGGCGTTCAGAGGAGCGGGCGACGATGCACGGAGTGAGGCGGGTGAGCAGCCACCGGCGCCAGTGGAACTGGGACGACTAGCGGCAACAGCCCCGCACTCGACAAATGGCGGCGTGAGATATCAAGAACCCGCTCCTTTCGACCCAGCTAATAAAGGCGTGACGGTGCGGCGATTGATATTCGCCATGAATATCTATTTCAACGCGGCGGGCATCCGAGACGATCAGAAGCGGAACAGCCATGCGTTGACACTGTTGCAAGGGGCCGCTCTACAGTGGTGGAAGGTTATCGTCGACTCAGCGGCAACTCGTACAGAAGGACAGCAAGAGTGGTCCGAAGAATTCGGCGACGAAGACGAGGCAGATTTGCTGTTTGGTGCGACCCACATTCGCACGTGGGCAACGTGGTGCGCAGAGCTTCGCAACCGGTTTGAGCATGCTCCTGACCCAGACAAAGCGCGCGAGACTCTACACATGTGGAGCAGCTGGGATCTTGTGTCCGAATACACCGCGTCATTCTTGACGTTGGTGGACACATGTGGCTACATGCACGAGTTGGAGAAGGTCGACAGGTACATGGGCAAAGCTGAAGCCTGAAATACAGTGCGAGATAGAATTGCAACGACCTGCGAAGCGGTTACAAGACTTCATCCAGCTCACCGAAACCGCTAATTCGTCACGAAGCGAGGACGAACTTCTACGACGGAGGTCGCCCTCGAGAACAGTACCAGCGCGTCACGATAAAAGGGATGGACGCAGTGGATATTACGCAGTTGCACCCGCACAATACGGGGTTATGCTACCACTGTGGCCGCCCGGGCCACATCCGACGCAACTGCCAAGAAATCATAGCCACTCAGAATTCTATGGGGAGAAGCCGGAGGAGCGACCGGGAAATGGGTCACGTCAGTAAGTATCGGGCCCCTTACTGACGGGCAGGCTTCTTCGCCCGAACCGCACAGTCCCCACCGGGTCGTGATCCCGATTGCTGCAATCGACCGGACCCGGACAAATAAGGGGGACGAAACTGCTGATCACCCTGTGTTGGTGGAGGGTAAAGTCAATGGAGTGTGCTGAAAATATTCGTGGATGGAGGCGCGAGTCACAGTCTCACACAGCTGGACATGGCTAAAAAATTGGTATCCCCTTACTCAAGTGTCTACTCAAAATCGACGCCCGACTGGTCGATGGAACATCGCTCGCTATACGGGAGCGGGTGGAGAACGTTAGTTTTCATTGCGGGGAGTACGTAAAATTTCGAATGGGCTGCTGGCGACTATACTCGACGGGGTGCGACACACTGCTGGGACGGGATTGGCTGCGACTGTACAACCCGAAGATCGACTGGACGACAGGCGGCTGCCAACTCGATGGGATTCATCGTGAGCTGCCGAAATGGACGGGGCCACGCATGCGAAACACCCAAGTCCATGCGATAACTTTCAAGCGCGCGATAAAAGTGGAAGCTGCAGCGTACGCCGTTGATCTTTGCGAGGTGACATCGCCGACAACAGCCGAAGATATCGCGAAGCTGTGCGATGCCGTTCCTCCGGATTTAGCGGACCTGATTCGGAAGTACCCCGAGATTTTCCTGGACGACCTGCCCGCTCGACTTCCGCCAAGCCGATCAAAAGACCACCACATCGAACTGGAACCAGCGCCCAACCGACGGTGCAGCGACAATTTCGGCTCACCCAACCAGAATTCGAAGAATTGCAGCAGCAGCTGGATTACCTCTTGACGAAAGGTTTTATCCGGCCTAGCACATCCCCATACGCCGCCCCGATACTTTTCAACCTGAAGAAGGATGGAGGATTCCGCATGTGCATCGACTACCGCGCACTCAAAAGGATCACAATCAAGTCGCGTTACCCGATCCCGCGAGCTGACGACCTACTCGACCAACTTCGCGGAGCCGATTACTTCTCAAAAATCGACTTGCGAGGAGGTTACCACCAAATTCGCGTCGCCGCCGAAGATTGTCACAAAACTGCATTTCGAACCCGCTACGGCAGCTACGAATATCTGGTGATGCCCTTTGGCCTCACAAACGCGCCCTCAACCTTCCAGATGACCATGAACGGCGTTTTCAGGGAACTCCTAGATAAATGCGTTATTATCTACCTCGACGACATACTAATCTACAGCCGCAGCAGGGAGCAGCACTTACAGGATCTTGATGTAGTCTTCACGCTGCTGTACAAGAATTGCCTCATCACGAAAGGGTCTAAGTGCGACTTTCTTAAGCAGGAGTTGGATTTTTTGGGCCACATCCTTTCTACTGAAGGCGTAAAAATCGACCCCAAGAAAATCAAGACCATACAGGAGTGGAAGCCGCCGGACCAACATCAAAGAGCTACAGAGTTTCCTGGGATTCGTCAACTATGTCCACCGTTTATCCCCAATATGGCTCGGTTATCTGCCCCGCTAACCGATCGACTAAAGGATCACGATTGTTATTGGTGGGGAGAGAAGCAGCAAGCTGCATTCGACTAACTCAAAATCGCCCTCATGTCACCGCCCGTTCTTTGCATCTCCGATCCTGACCGTCCATACGAAGTCATCACCGACGCCAGCGACATCGCCATCGGTGCAGTTCTCCTACAAGATTTCGGCGACGGATTACAGCCGGTCGCCTACGAATCACGGAAGCTGCAGGGCGCGGAAAAAAACTTACGGTACACGAAAAGGAAATGCTGGCGATCGTCCACGCGTTCAAGACCTGGCGATGCTGCCTGACAGGTGCTGACGTAACCGTGCGGACCGACCACAAATCCCTCGAGTACCTGCGAGCCCGACCGAATCTCAACCCGCGACAGATCCGATGGCTCGATTTCCTCGAGTCAAATTTCCACTACACCATCACCTACAAACGGGGCTCCAACAATATTGCCGATGCCCTGACTCGACCTACTGCCCATATCGCCGCCATACTCGTCGCCCAGACCAGCCCATTACTTACCGGACTATTTACCCACGGCTACAAGATCGATAATTTCTTCCGCTCTGCTATCCATCAACAGCATACCATAGCCACCGGACCTTATTTAAATAAGTACGATACTTCTCGCATCTGGGTGCCCGGCTACGACTTACTTCGTACCCTGCTAATCCAGGAATCCCACGACAACCGTACCTCCGGTCATTTCGGCGTCGACAAAACCATAAAAACGCTGCAGCGGAATTATTACTGGCCGAACATGGCCGATGACGTGCGCAAGTACGTGTCCTCCTGCACGGCCTGCCAGATAATGAAATCGTCGCATCAGCGAGCAGCCGGACTACTACAGCCGCTGGATCCGCCCGAGCGACCCTGGCAACACGTCACGATAAACTACGTGACACGACTGCTAGTCGGTCCCAGCGGAAACGACGCCATCCTCGTGGTCGTTGACCGACTCACGAAAATGGCGCACTTCATCGCCTGCCAACAGACCATCACAGCTGAACAAACTGCGCAGCTGTTCATCGCGAACGGCATCCGATTGCACAAACTGCCCTCCGCCATCATTTCAGACCGAGACCCGAAATTCACATTGAATTTCTGGCGCCACCTGTGGGACCAATTCGGCACCAAACTCCAGTTTTCCTCCGCCTACCACCCACAGACCGACGACAGACCGAACGAGTCAACCAAACCATGGAGAAACTCATTTGAACTACCTGTACTGATCCACAGACATGGGAGAAATCCCTTCCGCTGCTGGAATTCGCGTATAATAACGCGCCCTCTGCCACAACCCATCAGTCCCCATTTTTCCTCAACTACGGACAGGACCCAGTGGTACCCTCTACCCCGAACATCGAGACACCCGTGCCCCGGTCCCAGAAATTTGCTGAAGACATTCTCGCCGCTCGAGAAAAGGCAGCTGAGGCCATCTGGAAAGCCAACCTAGTCGCAAGCCGACAAGCCGATCGCCATCGACGTGACGTCACCTACAACATAGGCGATCTCGTCCTACCCGACACTCGCAATTTGCAGCTGCCGATCCCGAGCAAGCTCCGACCCCGATTCAGCAGACCTTTTCAAGTGACCAATATGGTGACATCCGTCACTGCTCACCTCCGACTCCCGCCTGATTGGCGCCACTACCCGGCTTTCCACATCAGCCTCTTACGGCCGTACGTCCCCAGTTCGTTGGAATTGGCACGCCAACGCGGAGTACAGCAGCTGACGCCCCTGCAAGAACCGACGATCGAACCCTTGAAAATTCTCGGCCATCGAGTCACGACACAGCTGAACCGTCGGATGGTTGATTTTCTCGTACGCTGGCGCGATCGCACGTCAGAAGATGACAGCTGGGTGCCGCTCGCTGGGCTAGAATCACATCCGATTCTAGCAGCGTATTACTAATGTCGGAATGTCCCCAATGCCCGAGGACTCGTTTAGGAGGTGGGGGTAGTGTAAGGAATTTCCATTCCTTACTGCGTCATACGCTAGCGCGTACACCCAAACTCCTCGACTCGTCACGTTCGGCCTCATTTGTCGGCCGAACCCTTCTCGAGTCGCTTGCGACACTGTCGCCACATTGCCGAACCTACCCACGTTCCGAGGTTATCGCCCTAGTACGCCAACCCCTATATAACCTCGTGCTTTTATTGCAATAGCGACCTTGTATTCTCCCATTATTATTCATTGACATCTTCTAAATCATAACATACGACAACCTCCCGTAACAACACAACGTCTCGACTTTTCATCGGTGACGAGTTTCTCTTATTGTAAGGAATTAGTAATTCCTTATTGAGGCTTGCTACAGAGCGTACAACTCAGCGATAGGGTTCTAGACCTTTCAGTTCGAGCCTCATGGGCCTTTCCGGACCTCGCTACGACACATCGAGGCTTTTCGACACTTTTCCCGAACCTTCCGATCTTAAGTCCAGGATCGCCCTAGGTTTCCTACATATTTTTTGTCTTTCATTTTATTGTCATTCACTCGTTCACTGTTTCGCCATTGCCCTCCGCGCTACTCGCACTTCCATTCATAACACTTGGTATTCAGACCTACTTTCCTCACCCGCTGGGCTTCCGAGGGCAGAATATTTTTTGCGAGGGGGAGAAGGCGGATGGCGCTACAGAAGGCACGATGGTTGTCCTGAAGCATGATATGATATGCTTCAACTACTGCGTTTGCGTGGGCTTCTGAAGACCGTCGATCCGACCTTAAGGGACGAGCAGGATTTGCTCGGCCATCCCCTCGAGGGCGGTTGTGTCCGTCCTGACATGGTGAAGATTTTGAAGAGTGTTTCCGGTATGCTGTTCATTTCACACATCGTTAAAAGAGTTTCGGTTGCAGTTTCGGAAATTTAGGCAAGCAGCAACGATGATTCAGATTGGTGTCCGAATGGAGCGAGGAGCTCGTCACGAGACGACAAGCTCGTGGATATCCCCAGGCGAAAAGGATTTCGTAGGAGCGCGTATAGCAGACGTGGCTGCATGGTGAAGTGTAGCTGACGTCAAAGGGCTTGGCGTTTCCGGCAGGCGACACGCAGGTGAAGACGGGACTTCGGACACTGTTCAGCAATGTGGCGCTGGAGTTTTCGGCACGACCAAGGATCGCACGACAGAAAAAGTGGGGCTCAAGCACGGAGGAGTTCCGAGGAGTACTGACCTTGGAAGTAATTCGCGTGACATGCCCGCCTGGAGCTGTAATTCGTCTGCCCTGGAGTTTCGAGCTCGACGAGTCAGGATTCCCGCAGAGGAAGCCATTTTCGTGGTCAGAAATTATACTCCATGATCTACGGAGGACGACCAGCAACTACCCTCGGGTCGAGCTTAAGTGTCCTCACCGGGTCACCGCTAAAAGTCAACGACGAAGAGCTGAAGTAGAGAAGGAGAACGACTGGGAACAGCCAGGAAAAAAATTATGGAGTCAGCGGCAGACAGTTCCCCCGACTGACTTGACTGACTTGGCCCGATTTTCAGCACCACCACCAGGTACCAGTTTGGTTTTAAGACTACTCCGACGGTTTTGGCCGAATAAGGGTAGTGAGCCAGCGGATCACCTTGCGCTGGTGGATTGAAATATTTTCGGTAAGCGAACGATTTGTGAAAATCGGATGCTTTACAGTGGGAGGCGCGTAAAGATGGTTAACGAAAAAGAGAAGGATTTTTGCGACGACGATTGGACAGTACGCGGAGCTCGAGTCCGATACGAACGGCGAGGATTTGTCGCTGAGATCGCCGGAGTTTTTCGAAAGAACAAGCGTGGTACTGTTGGTAGAACGACGAACGTGGGCGGTGGGTGAACAGACTTTTTTTTTTTTTAAAGGGAGGGGAAGGACAATATCTTACGTAAGCAGCAAAGCGGTTGCCCGCGAATTAGACTGATTAATTCGCCCAACTGTGATAGCGTTTACGCTTACCAGAGTACGGGCACACGGAGGATTCACCCCTGCTCTGGAGTGTATTCATCAAATGGGGCTTCGGGAAGACAAGGGTGCTTCGGGAAGACAAGGGTTACTGTTGCAGTAGGAAAAGCGTGTTGCCGTCACGGAAATTTTGGAGTCACGCGGGAGTCTTCAAGGATTATTCCTGAGTTACAGGGCTATAATAGAAGATTCGGCGGCGAGGACTCATTCGGGGATTTACCTGGACAGGCACAATGATGGGTGAAGGTCAGCGCATTGCTAAACGTCGGGTATTTTCCGGGTGGGAAATTTTCAAGTTTTTGGGTGGACCAGTAGCTGGGGTCGCGGGTACCGACCGAGCTATGCGATGGTTTAAATACCAGCATGGTTAGTCGGCGAAACTGCAGAAAACGCGCTTTTCGTAGCTGAGAACTGTGCCCGAGTTTTTCTGGGGTACCTGCTGTAGCCGCGCGATGGGTGAACGTCTGCACGGCGAACCGGTCAAGAGGAGTTTTGGAATTTACAACACGAAGCAGATCGACGGCATTCTGTGGAGGAGAATTATCATCTACGGTTACGGACAAAGCCAGGGTCTATGTGGCGCAGTGGCCCTGCGATATAGGGTCGCGCTGAGACTGGTGCCGACGAGCAGAGGTTGAAGATCCTTTAGTTTTCTGGATCAAAAGAACCTTGAAGCAGAGTATTTCGGCGTCGACGACATAAGATTTTCTTTTAATGGAGGGGGGGCGAGAGCAGCTGCGCAGCAGTTGATTTTTAGTTTTTCCCTCGACAATTGGCATCCGCTGCATGAGCATCGACAGACAGATGCTGTCTGACCGACCGAATCGACGGACACATTCGAGTTGGCCTTTCCGGAATTTCGCAGGTGTTTGCAAAAGTTGAAGACGTGTTTACATTAGTTGCCTGACGTGACATCGACTACGGTTCCTGGACTGATTGTGTTTTCGTCGATTTGCTGATGGACTCTCGCTGACTTTCGTGAGACGCCGACGCGTGTTCTCGCATGTGTCGCGAATGACCTCGCATTTTGACGAATCGCCGGGGTTCATTAACTTTGCGAAATACGGACGCATGTTTTTGCGAGTGTCACAACTCACGTGGAATGAAACGAGGTGCGATATAAATTTACGGAGCTACGGACAAGTTTGGCGCTGTGGAGTAGATTCGGCTCGCCAGCTTGCAGCAGCGTGAATAACGTAGTGTTACTGTGCGGATACGGTACACGACGACGGGGTTTGGAATTCTCCGCGAAGGACTCGCTGGAGACAAGGAAGTTGTGGTGCGTTAGTTTTCCTACTGCCCGTTTGGTTATCTAGGTAATTCGACCAAGATTCGACGGCTACGATCGACCGCGATCATTTCGACGTGTTTCGACCGTTGGATGGAGTTTCTTGAAGAAGCTCGAGATTCTCGACAAGAGTGTCTTCACTACGATGAGATTCAGTTTGGCTTGTCTAGCATTGTTTATTTGTGTGATTATCTAGAAGGGGGGAGAGTGTAAGGAATTAGTAATTCCTTACTGAGGCTTTCTACAGGGCGTACGACTCGAACAGTCCCGAACCAGCGATAGGGTTCCAGACCTTTCAGTTCGAGCCTCCTGGGCCTTTCCGGACCTCGCTACGACACATCAAGGCCCTTCGACACTTTTCCCGAACCTTCCGATCCTGCGTCCAAGATCTCCCTAGGTTTCCTATGTATTGTTTTGTCTTTCATTTTATTGGCATTCACTCGTTCACAGTTTCGCCACTGCCCTCCGCGCTACTCGCAGTTCCATTCATAACACTTATCGTGACATTTTCTCTCAACATGTTACAGGCATTTGCGAGGCGCGTGTATCTAGGACGCGACGCGGTAAATATATTCCTCCAAGTCACCTAAGGATGGCTTGGGGTGACGGTACGGTGTACTCGGGGGGTCCTTGGGGTGACGGACGGAAGGCGTTTCGACCGTGACGCAGTCTTTGCAAAGCGTCGCGACTCCTAACTTCCCGTCTCATCTATGATCTCCGACACTAATGGGGAGTCCCTATATATGTTATCCCTTCCCTTATTTCCCCGTTGAGGCTCTCTATTCTCGACATCTTTACAATTCCTTCTCAATGGAACCTAGCGAGGGAGGGCGTTCATGGAATATCGCCAGGAATCCAACTTTGGAATCGTCATGGCTCTTGTTCAACCGTGCCGATATTGGCGCTATGAGGGAGGCTGACTAGGCCGAGGAGGCCGAGGACTGTGAGGACGATGGGCAGGCGGCGGAGCCCTTCGAGGTGAGGTTAACCAAGTCGGCGATGAAGAAGCGTCGCCAATGGTTAAGGAGGAATGCACGTAGGATGACGCCGCCCGCTGCGGAGAAGGACGCAGGCTCGGAGGGTGGTGCTGCTGAGGAGCGTGCGGAACCTGCGGAAAAGGATACAGATGCGGAGAAGCCTACAGGTATGAGAACAGTGGGCGAAAGATGAGGGCTTAGATGACAAGGGGAGGGGGATGAGAGGAGGAAAGTGAGGGATTCGAAGGGACAGGGGAGTGGGTTTTAGTTTTGAGGCGCCTCAAAACTAGACTCCTATCACAGGGGAGAGGGCACACCAACCATTGACTCATTCTTTGATCCCTTGTCCTTTCCCAGAGACAGCGAAGGACAACCGCGATGAATGGGAGGGAACAAACAGTGTAGGGAAGAAGTTTAATTTTTGGTCCACCAGGCGCCTGAAGCGGGATGAGGAAGGCTTTAAAGGGGAGCACTCGCGTGAAGAACGGACCAATGCACCCACGGATATTCTGTTGAGTGAAAGTACGAATATCTTTGGAGTGAAATGGGCGGCTCAGGCAGAAGGTTCGATGAGGGTAAGGTTCGATGAGGGTAAGGTTCATAATTTTTGCGACTATGGGCACACGTACAGGATTCACTTTGGGCACGTATGGCAATTGCCTAGATGCTGGATTGGCGATCGAATTGGCTTATGCGATCTACCAGCCAGGTTTGTTCCCTTACGCCTATGCCTTCCTCTACCCTGAGAAGGTGAAAGTGGCAGTGAAGTTATCACGCGTTGACTTTTT